TATCAGTTTGTTCTATTTCTTTAAACTCGATGGAATAATTTATATGATTGAATTTAGTAATATTTTTAAATGAAAATATTCATACAAGAAAACAGGCAGTCTTCTGTTCTTTTGTTGACATTGTTATCTTTTTATCTCTTATCTTGCTTTAGGTTGATTTCATATGGATAAACAGAGACCAGAAAAGCTTTGAATGGTTCTTAACGCTGCTTAATCAGATTGAGTTGGAGCAAAGCAGTCATCATGGTATCTTAGAAAATAGTATTCAGATGCATATGTACATGACAGCCGCGCAGAAAAAGACCGACATGAAAGGCATTGGACTACAAGTATGCCCTCTTTTAACGTTCGCACATTTTTATTATCGTTTAGAGCATTGGGGACTCTACGCCATTTCTTCTTGGAATGGCACAAATGTTTACATTAAAGGTTCTATGGTTATCGACGTTTAAACAGGTGTTATACATATGTTTCCTTAATTTGTTATCTGAATGTTTCAATGTTGTTTTTGCTTTAGTCGTTGCCAATAGGCATATATTGCAGATTGCATTTTACCATTTGCGTCAATGAAAAGCTTCAATCAAAGAGAACCTGCAACATTTTCACATTAGGCGTTTAATGCATTTGCAAGTGTTCATTTGCAAACACTTTTTTTTTTAATTTTGGTATTATGTTTTACTTTTATATTTCACTTAAAAGTATTATAAGCTTAGCAATTGCCTTTGTTGCCTTTTGTAAATTGAATGTTCAGCTCTAATGGTTCAATCTTCATATGCCATTACATTTCTTCTCACACTTTTTGCCATTTCATTTTACATTTACAGTGTTGCTTCGACTAACACTGATTTTTATGGACCTGCCGCCTATAATATAATATGTAATTATCAAAAACTAGCACCCCGTGAAACTAACCGCAAATATTCCCCATGTCAAACGTTATGATAACGACAAAACAGTTGTAGTCATAAATTAGTACACAGTGAAATTTCCATATACCTTCATAGTGACAAATTTGTTTTTTTTAATATTAATTAACGCATCGTCAGATTTACCAAAAATATTGGCGAACTAGAACTACATGAAAATGATAAAATGGTTGGCATCATTAAATTAACGCACCGCCGGATCAATTAATTAAAAATGATTCATATTTCTAACTTGATGTAAAGAAAAACAACAGAATTTAAGATAACATAAATTAACAAATCGAATGATACCATCAGAGTTTTATAAATATACATTAAATGACAGTATTAACGTTATTGAAGCGTTGTTTAACAGAATACTTAACAAGGGCCTCTTTCCTAAGATCTGGGGTAAAAGCGTGGCTACGGCAATCCATAAAAGCGGATTAATGACCCTAGTAACTATAGAGGGATTTCTGTAACGAATGCTCTGTATAAAGTATTTTCTAGACTTATCAATACTCGACTTTATAATTGGGCCGAAAATAGTAATAAAATCGACGAGTCACAAGCCGGCTTCCGACACGGGTACTCAACGGTAGATAATATTTTTGCTCAGAAATATTTAACAAGAAAAGGTGGTAGATTCTATTGTATTTATGTTGATTTTAACAAATTCGACAAATTAAACCACGAGAAGCTTTTTGAAATATTACATCGTAGAGGTCTCCGCGGCAATTTTTTACGCGTGCTCAAGACTATGTATACCGATCTATTATCGTGTGTAAAACTCGACTGTAATCATGCTAAAAATAGACCAATTTAAATGATAACAATTGCTGTTATTTATCTACTGATTACTGTAATGTCGGAACAAAACAGGGAGACGTAAGCAGCACAACTCTATTCATACTTTTTATTAATGAATTAGCAGAGTTACTACGTCTCTCGTGTGGAACAGGGATTTTTATAACTAACGACATACATGTCTTATGTTTGCGGACGACATTGCTAATTGCGCAGAAACACGCTGTCAAATTACAGCAACAAATTAATATAATAGACGTATTTTGTCAAGATACGGGTATGGAATTGAATTTAAATTAAACAGAGATTATGGTATTCCGTAATGGAGGTGGTCTTAGAAATTATGAATCTTGGCTCTATCGTGGATCTCCTGTTAATGTAGTATCAATTTATAAATATATGGGTGTTTATCTTACACCTACTATATCTTGGTCATCAACCCATAATAAATTGTCTATTCAAGCCAAGAAATCTATTCTAGCCATCAAACAGTATCAAAAGTCATTTGGATATTTTCCAGTCAAAGAATACTTTAAATTATTTGATGCTTTGGTGAAACCAATATTATGTTATGCCTCACAAGTATGGGGTTATTGTTATGTAAATACTATTGAAACTGTTCATAATGATTTTTGTAAAAGGTACCTTAATGTTATTAGAACTACAAATAACGCAATGGCACTAGGAGAATGTGGCAGGTTACCATTATGTATATTTTATATGACTAACTGTATAAAATATTGGTGCAAGTTATTGACTATGCAACAATCGAGATATCCGCGACAATGTTATCTTATGTTGAAAAATCATGATGATAGTGGGAGATATAATTGGGCTACTAAGATAAAAAAAATTATTATTTGAGTATGGTTTTGGGTTTGCCTGAAGAAATAGGTAGTCCTGACATGTTTATCCATTTGTTTAAACAGAGACTGGTTGATTGCTACACTCAAAATTGGCATAATGATATTAATACTTCTAGTCGATGCTTTCATTATAGAAATTTTAAATCACTTTTAAATGTAGAAAAATACTTAATATTGGACTTACCATTTATTTATAAAACATCTTTTTCTAAGTTTAGGTGTTCTAACCACAAACTTAAAGTAGAAATCGGCAGACATTTAAATATACCAAGAGAAAACGCTTTTGTACATATTGTTTAAATAATAGAAATATCTCAAATATAGATTGTGAATTTCATGCTTTTTTCCATTGCTATAAATAAAATGAAGTACGCCAACTATACTTACTAAATTGGTATAATGGAAGAACAAATTTAAATGATTTCTACTCATTAATGAACTCGAGTTGTGATACAACAATACGTTATATATGTATTTACATGTATATACACCATATTCTTTGTAAAGCTGACGATATTAATTACAGGGACGTAAAATGTTTATCCATGTTGCTTTGTATATTATGGGCCGGTGGCCTTATTATCAAATAAATATGTTGTTGTTGTTGTTGTTGTTGTTGATCAATTAAAAATACTCTATGCTTAATGCATTGGATTGGCATTTTTTTCCTTTTCATTCAAATTTAGCAAAATCATTGCTTATATTGGTACTAATGACTTTTTATTACAGATTGCACTAGACCTGATGTACGAAAAAGGTCAACGTGACTTGATTACCGGTTTAAGAACCAAAACAGAACCGGGGAGACCTGATTGGAATAAGGTACAGTACAATACATAGATATTTCATTTTGTCTCAAAACTCAAGTGATAAATAAAGAAAGAAATAGCTTCACATAGTTTTAATGCTACATTGTCTCTCTTTTGATTTACACAATTTATATGTAGTCATGACCAGAACGATGTTCTGCATATTGATGAAATGATAAAATGAAATATTTTATAGTATTGTTTCAATATATTTTAACTTACTTTTTTCAGATTTTCAAACAAATCAAAGCAGAAGATAAAGGGAAAGTTAAAGTTTTCTTTTGTGGGGCACCAGCTTTAGGCAAATCTGTAAAGGAAATGTCTGCAAAATATAGCTTTTCATTTTCAAAGGAAAATTTCTAGTATTGGTAAAACAATGTCCTAAAGTGAATGGAACTGAAGAACGTAAAGACTGGATATGAGTTTAAGAACCCCATTTTCGCATTATTTGTTGTTTTTGTTGCTCATTTTATATTCTAGCTCAAAGCAAATAATTTTGTATTTTAATGTCTTTTAAACAAGTACCACTGACGGAACAGTGCTTCGAGACTGAGCTTATTTATAAATATGTATTTTACAGCTGGCAATTGTTTGCATAATATTTTGTTTTTTTACGTTCTTGAAAATGTAAGAAATAACAAGTTTTTGAATGGATTTAATTTTAGCTGTTTCTAGATAATAGCTTTATTATAATTTAAACGTCACATATAGCATTTTGTATTTTGTTAAACAAATTTTATCATACATATGTTACTTTACGTGGTTAATGTATTAAAGCAACATGCTTTCAGCTTTGTGTTATTTTTTATGGAATTATAGAATGATTTCCTACATCTAAAGTTGTTCATTAAGTGATTTAAGCTAGTGTCCAGCATTAACTGTCGACAGAAATTATATAGAATTGGTCAAATGTGCTGCAATTTTCCGTACTCCTTTGGCATTAGAATTAAGTTAATAAAACATTACATACTGTCATATATTGTATAATATTTTGACTTGGTTTGTAAATACTAATATGCATTTATAGCTTTAATGCGTTTTTTTTAAATTTTGAGTTTTTTATGTTTTGTTTTCTTTGTTATTGATTTCTAGTTTAAATCTGAAGGCGTCATGCTTTAATTAAATACAACGTGTATCATAAAAGCAATAGTGTTTAAATGACAGTGACAGTAACTTCGATATAAACCATTTATAACACAAAACTTACATCTACATGACGCCATTACCTTTGTACATGTACATAGCCAAGTTTTTATATTTAAATATTTTATTTGTGCTTTTAACAGTTTATTTTAATGATATACAAAAGCCAGGCGATTATTATCGTTTGAAAACATGTCATATTGAATTTCTTCATATATCGTTCTACAACTTGCTTTTATATGTAATATTAGTTTTATATGTACATATGTATCCATGTATTTAGTACTTTAAGTACTACAAGTTACCTTTGTTATTTACATGGACTTTAAATGGAATTACAATAGCTTTTACATGTCATTAACATGGACATTAAATAAAGTAACAATGGATTTTCCATGTCATTCAAATTGACATTAAATGGAACTACATCGCATAAGCATGGACTTAGCATAAGATTTATATGTGGATGTGACCACATGCTTTTTTCTTATGAAAGAATTTATTAATATTATACATACATCTATACGTTTTCATTAGATGCATTCCTTTGGAGTGCACATAATCATGTTAATAAATTTTCGTTTAAGTTCTGCATAATATTTTATACTATTTTAAAGCAATACTTTTGTAAATACTTATTAAATGTTCAAAGATAGTTTTATATCTTTGTACAGTTTTAAACAGTCTATTCAAGAAGCAAATAGATTATTGATAAAAGTTTGTGGTTGTGTTGATTCTTTTCCATGTAAAATGTTTTATATTCATTTTACAGCTATATTGACATACTTATTTTATTGCATAAACAAATGATAAGAAACAATATCATAAAATGATTGAATAGCTTAGTTAAGATTAAATAAACTAACGGTGGAAAAATATTGTAATTCGGACAGGGATTGACGGACGCCGCCTAATATATCCGAATAGGTGACCAAAAACACTTTATGAAATATATTTTCAAACAAATCAATGAAATAATACTACTTATAAAGGAAAAAAAGTAAAAGAAAATAAAAGCCTTGAAAACAACAAGTTCTCTACTATGAAAGTTTACTATAATTAGACGTTGAATTATTTAAGTTTACATACATCATAATGTTTACAATAAAGGTCTATAACGATCTGTTTTATTTTTAATTCTTAATAAACCATTTAAGTTCCTTAAACGTTACTCATCGGCCATTCGTTTTTGTGTTTTGCTTCAAGGTTATCTTACATAATCTTATAGAGAGTGTGCCCTTTGTAATTATGGAAGGCAAATACTACTTGTTCATATTTTCATTTTATTTGTACAAATAATATCACATTCAGCGATACTTGCCACAGGTGACAGGCATATAGCATGCTCTGAAACCATTTTAAACGTTAGAAAATCATATATGCGTGCTTTTACCAAGAAAAGGAAAAATTGATTAGTTTCTAGGACATAATATGCCTTTAATGTTCGTGAAGTAATAATAAATGACATTCAGTTTGAGAACAATGTTTAAAACTTATTGAATATTAACGTAACATGTGGAGCATACAGTAATACCTTTTTCATTGATATGCAACGACCATGCCTGAAAATAATTGAAACACGTCAAAAGTTTCCTCATTACTAAATTCATGCTTCAAAAAAATTATAAATATATTAATATGCCATTTATTGCTTTAGTAAATTTTTGCCATGCGGAGTTGAAAAAGAAATAACCTATTAACTATTTTACCAGAGAGGCTTGTCAGGGCTGCATATATATTTTCTTTAGGTCACTTGTAAGATTTACTTTAGACATGGATTGTCTTTACAAATATATATTTGTTTATATATTAGTTTTACTGGTCCAAACACTTAATACAGTTACTTTCAAAAGTGATGGAGTCACAATTAATTACCATATTAACTTTACACTGCAATGTCAAACGGATGTGCACAGATTCAACATGTTGTACAGACTTCCGATTAACAAATGTATACTCGAATGTGGACTAAGAAATCATTGCGCGGCGGTCAATTTTTGGCGACACAATGGTATATGCGAACTTTTCTTGTCCACAGATGTAGAAAAATTAAGTAGGAAGGACTGTATTCACGTGCTTAAAGGAGATATCAATGTGGAAGAGGTAATTTTTTTTGTGGAAATATTAACAACATAACTTCTAAATGCTGTAGACTTATTTCTAAATGAATAATTTTTGGAATATAATGTTTGTTTCAAAACTCATTTCAATGGCCCGATATTCCAGTTAAGTTTTTATCTTTGCACGATTTTATGAGTATCAATATCATAAATTTTCGATAACATTTAGAAGCGTTATGCTTATGAGCTGTTAAAACTATTAAAGTTATAAGTTTTTATTATTAATTTTAAGTCGATTGATCAACAATGGGCACATTCTTCATAAGTATTTCAAAAATTGATTAAAACTGTAAAAAATGATAAAAAATAAGTTACAAGCGGATTAGAATAAACATTTATATGATGAAAAATAATATTTTGTTCTAGAAGAATTTACAAAGTATTATCTGCTATATAAATATACTTTACTCGTATATCGGATTATTTATATCACACTTGACAACAACATCCATATATGATAATTTTAAGTTTTTTTATGTCTGTTACTAAATAGTGTCAACGTTATTATTATATTACATACCTTTTTATTGACCACTCAACTTAAAGAATAATTATCTTGACAATTAACGTATTTTTGAATAAAAAAACAACACCACAACCAACATAAATAAAATATTCCGATACAATTACATTTGTATTTGGAATGTACTCCATGTAATTGTTCAAAATGTTTAATGAATTATTGTGGAAGCTTTGTTCTAAACTATACATAATGTTATAAAAATATGGTAAAAGGAACTACCCCTAGAGTAGTATCTGTTTGTGTATTTGGGTTTACACATTAGTGGTCATACATAACAAAAACTACAGTTAGTACATGTTTCTGTAGTAGGCTTGAATGAGTTGGCACAACTGGGCTAACTCTTAGAATGCAAGTTTACATTCTTTGAGTAATCTTTCAGAGTTTTGGATGAGACTGAGCCAAAATGTTTTCTAAGTGAATTGACACAATAAATTTTATCACGTACATGTCCAAGATCGTAGCATTCGATATGGAAATGTTTAACAATTAAACATACATTGCAAGTTATATACCCGGTAAAAAAATAAAAATATGTAACTCTTGTATGTCCATCTCTACATATAAGAAGAACAACTTGATTATGACGGTAAAGGTCAGATGGGAGATGATGTTTAATCTAGACACGGTTGATATCAAGAAGTTTGTTAAATACAGCTTTTTCTCAATTTGATTCCCATTCAGATGAAATACGTTTAAGTGAGGGTTTAAAATTTCATTTTGGTAAAAGTTAAAGCTACTGGTTGAAACTTTATGGATTCTTTAGCTTAGAGATTCCTACGTGCCTTTGGATCCTACTAATTTAAATGACTTAGTTAGGGGTTTTTGTGTGTGCAAATATCATGGAATATAACAGTTTCCTAATCATAATGCTATCGGTCGTTCGTATTTGATATTCAATTGATAAAACACGGATAGTGATTCTGAAATTTATTTTGCAAATTTGTGACCATTATGCTGTACAATGTATGACAGTGCTAGATCAATGAATTTCGCCTCTTTGAAACCATCCTTTTGAACCGTCCCTGTAAATTTCGATAACAATCCTTATGTTCTTGTTTCAATTTTGAAAAGTGATGACTTTTCTTTAAATGTGAAAAGCTATTGTATTTTCGGAGAATAATGTAAGTCTACGTAAACATATCGAAGAATATATTTTGGCTCTAATTAATGTTTCCTAAACAAGTTTGTACTCAAAGGCCTAATTGTTCAATATCCTTTGATTTGTTTAAAACATGTCGCTACAATTTATCTTGAAAATTACCTTACTCTAGGATTTTTATCATTTTTCTACCGTTCTAGTTGCAAATAGGAGACTAAGATTGTTTTAGGCATAGATAAAGAGAGGGTACTTCTGCTTCAGCATAAAGACTTTCTTTTGGCAATGTTAAAAATAGGCCTAATGCTAAACGAAGGACTTAATGATGTAGCTTGGAGTATTTGTAAATAAAATTTCCTGGCCAAACTATAGAACCAACAAAATAAGATAAACAAGATCAACAAGGGAAGGCGGCATTCAATGAACGCAACCACCTCCCGACCCAGCAACAAGAACCAGTGCCAAACTTTATTTTAATCTGATGAGGAATTTAATCGCCAGTCCGTACTAGACAAAATTGTTTAATAATTTTAAAGCTTTTAAACATGTTGTTTTTTAACATTTCTATTTGTGGAATAAAGGATAATTATTTTATCACATATAACTGTAAGAAATTTTATTTCATCAACCTCAGGAATTTTGGAAATGTAAAATTCATGGTCAATTTGACGTTTCCGTAATCGGCAAAAATGAACACATTGATTTTTTACTTTGAACATTTAAAACTGAAAACAACAGTACGAATGTGAAAATTTCAGTCGGTTTTGGTCATCCTAGAAGAGATAATGAAAGTTGCAACAGCTTTCACGCCCCTAAGTAAAGTATCAAACGGATTTCAACGCATTGGGATCAGGATCAGTAATCTCGAAAGAATCAGAAACATAATTATATAACGAGAGTTAGATGAA